TATATATATATATATGTATATGTACACACACACACACACATATATAAAGAAATTAATACAGCATTCAAGTATTCAAATTTTTAAATATTCAAGTTTGTTTAAATTTTCACTGCAATTTATATGATCAGAAAATGTAATAATATTTTTTAATACTGATAATTGTATATTTAATATTTTTAAGATTTTTGAATGTAATAACTAAAAATGCAAAACGTCAACTGAAATATGTCCATCATGACCATCATGACCTTTATATTTGATTAATTTTGTATATTTTGAGCATGTATTGTTCATTAATTTGCAATTGACTGAATTGACTGAATTATACAGGTTTTTCTCTATTCCAAAAAAAAAAATGCATTAAATGTTTGTTTTACATCATTTTACAAATTATATTTCAAATAAATGCAGTTCTTTTGAACTTTCTGTTCATCTGTGAATCCTGAAAAATAAAATGTATCACAGTTTCCACAAAAATATTGTGCAGCACAACTGTTTTCAACATATATAATAATAATCAGAAATGTTTCTTGAGCAGCAAATCAGCATATTAGAATGATTTCTGAAGATCATGTGACACTGAACACTGGAGTAATGATGCTGAAAATACAGCTTTGATCAAAGGAATCAATTACACTTTAACAGATATTCACATAGAAAACAGCTGTTTTAAATTGTAATAATATTTCACAATTTTACTGTATTTTTGATCAAATACATGCAGTTTTTGTGAGCAGGAGAGACTTTCAAAAACATGAAAAAATCACACCGACCCCAAACTTAGTCCCATAGGAGCTAAAACTAACCTAGTAAAGCTAGTAAAGCTGGTTCACTCACCGTTTGGTGCACTGGCTGGGTGCTCCCAGATGTGCGTCTCTTAATCGGTAGATTCCAAAACACAACATGTTGTACGTCTTCAATGCTTTACAGAATAAATCACCATAACAGCCCCCATCCTGGAAACACAAACAAACCTAAATATTATATGGTGGAACAGATTTAAAGATATTTAATATAATAGATTCAAACAGTATTAGTATTTGATTCTCAGGCCTCCAAACATCACGACAGTCCTGTTTTATATTTTTTTTTACATTTTATATGAAACATATATGTTTTCCAAAACATGTTAACTGTGAGAAAATCCAAGCCATATATCTAAACAAGTTGTGTTCCAAATTTGGGGTTGATATTGCAAAAAATTAGCTTTCAGTAAGATTTTATTTGGGCGCAGTACCAACGTTTTCCACTAGATGAAATTCATTCCCATTCATTTCTAAAGTGGTAATTTTTGACTGCGAACAGTACAATTCTGACTTTTTTTTTCAAGACCATTTAACCTTTTCAAATAATGTTGATTTTTTTTGTGTGTGTGTGTGTTCACATAGCAAATTTATGCAAAACAAATTTAACACGTTTCATACCATTCCAATGATGTAAAAAAATTTGTAAAAAAGTGTAAAATTTTTCAGTAAAAAATGGCCCGAAAAGAACCAGATGGTTAATGGTGGGTTAAAGTTCTTGCCACTTGCTATGAGAACACACACACACTCTCACAGACACACACACACACGCACACACACACACACACACACACACACACACACACACACACACACACACACACACACAAAAAGAATGGAAAGCGAATTACATTTAGTGGAAACATTTTGCACTGCGCCCAAACAAAATCTTACTAAAAGCTAATTTTTTTCGCGATATCAACCTCAAATTTGGAACACAACTTGTTTAGATTTATGGCTTTGATTTTCTCACAGTTTTAACATGATTTGGAAAACATATTTCATATCAAATTTAACATTTCACAATAAAAACTTATATAACTTTTTTTTTAGTTTCACTTTTATAATCTCCCAAGTGTCTTCTTTAAAAATGCTCACACTTAAATCTGTGCTCCACAGCATTCAAGATTTTCAAGTTTAAGTTGGAGTTTAGTTAGTTTGTTAGTTAGTTTTACGTTTTTTTTTTTTTAAGTCGGAAATGTAATTTTCAGGTCTAAGATCAAAAAGTGGTTAATAAATATAATAAATGGATCATAACTATTCCATAAATATAATCTCAGTACCATAAATTCCCCTAAAAATACAAAATATTAAATAAAACACTATCAAACTAAAATATAGTATGTTTTACTGAAATAAAAAAAATTTAATTTTTGACCAGCACGCGAGCAGCACCAGAGGGTTAAACTTGAATAAAATGAAGAAGCAGCAGATGTCAGTCTCACCCCCAGATCTGCAAAGGGTCCGTCGTAAAGCGCTAGCTGTGCGACGCGGCAACGGTCTCGGTTGGCCAGCGTTTGCGGTGTGCTGTATCCTCCGCGCAGCGCATTCTCCTCCGCCAGCAGACCCTCCAGCTCCGGCGTGGCTCCGCCGGTCACCAGCGTCCGGATCAGAGTCAGAATATTGTCATTGAAGTAGGTCTGAGAGAGAGAGATGGAGAGGAGCGTTACAGACGTGGGACAGCAGTTGGGAGGGACAATAAATATGAAGGGGACACAAATAATCCAGCTAAAATTGTACTTGTAAGGATATGTATCCACAGAGGAAAGCATTACTATTAGTGTAGCAGGGAGTCCGTGCCAAATTAGACAAGCTGTTGTGGTCACGCCGAGACAGCGCTCGTGTCTGTTGTAGACATTACTATCCGTCACAGTGTTGCCAAGTCTGCGGTTTTCCTGCGGAATTGGGCTACTTTATCACTGTTGCCGCGGGTTGTTTTTCATTTCCGTGGATTGAAGCATCCCCAATAACGTGCATTTTAGCCCCCGGAACGCGGATAGTTTGGGCTAGTTTTGAGTAGCAATAGGGCGGGTTTTGTTGTGAAAACCTGGCAACCCTTTCCGTCAAGCAGGTAACGTTACTTACTGGAGTTCCACAACTATTGACTTTGTTCTCTCTCACCGGACTTGTGTGTGTGTAGGTGATGTAAAAGAGGAAAGCAGGCATTTAGAGCAAAGCAAGCAAAGGGAGGGGGAGACTCGAAATGTTTCTAAACTTAAAACGCAATTTTGCCCCGTTTGTGGTGTTTTACTACTTACACAATTATTTAAAGTATAAAACATTGTTATTTACAATGCACAGTGTGGTTTTTAACAATATTTTTAAGGGGGACAACCCTCAGATAGGGGGGATCCTGTTCCCCCCGACCCCGCCGGGATTTCTGCCTATGGTTTGCGCTGACTTACAGCACTCATTAATGAATCCAGCACGCTGACGGCAAACGCTGTCCCACAGGCGAACGGCTGCGTGAGGTACAGCTCCGTGTCGGGGTCGTCGTCGTCATCCTGGTCCAGAAACTGGACGTTTGAGTCGTTCACTGCAGACACACACACACGGTTTGTTAGGAATGTGTTTCACTAAATGAGAAGTCTTAGTAAAGTATGCTCACAGAAAATAACAGGACAACACAGGGTCAAAAATGAACACCTTTAGCTCCAAACGAGGGGCTTTGGCAAATAAATGAAACAGAGTAACTTGCCAGTGCAGCAGCTGGTGAATTTAATAAGAACTTTAATAAGAATTTAAAAGTTTATCTAGATGAAGTTTTTCTTCAGACCTTTAAGCAGAAACATGATGTGATTATATGTATCAATGGGTCCTGATAAAACATGACAAAAGTTATTAGAGTTATTATAGTTAACTAACAGAAAAATAAATAAATAAATAAACAAATAAAAATGTTTTACTTAAAATGTAATAAACTTGAAATAAATGAACATATAAAAAATAATAAACATATTTTATTTTAGCTAGTTTCCAAAGCAACATTTCTCATTTTCATTTAGCTTAACTTGATGTACAAAAATAACTAAAACTAAAACTGAAATAAAAATTAATAAAAACTATATAGACATATTAAAAAAATGAATAAAAATGACAAAAACACACAACAAAATTACTAAAATTTAAAAGAAAATAGAGAAAATTACAACCAATTTAAAACCTTAATAAAAAACTAAAATAATATCACAAAATAACACTGTTAATAGGTTACATTTATAGAATGTGTTGCACTGCCTTTTAGTTGCTTTAAATACATAAATCAAAAATGTATCACCAATTCCGTTGCTAAAACAATCAGTTAACTTGGCAACGTCAAAACAGGCTTTGGCAAGTAAATAAAATGAAATGTTGCTGGTAAATTTACGAAGAAATTTATTTGCAGTCAAATGTTAAGAACAATAACAAGTTATTGTTTAATGCAACACAAGTGAATATTATTGTAAATATTACTTAAAAATAAGTAATATTGTAAATTGAAGTACTATAATTATTAAAATTTAAAAAAAAATTAAAACTAAAGATCC